GATGGGCTTTTAACCAGGCTTGATAGTAGATGCCCTTTGCTCCTAGTAGCGAACATTGCTCCTAGTAGCGATGCCAGGAGCTCCTAGTAGCGTCCTTGCTCCTAGTAGCGATGCCAGGAGCCCCTAGTAGCGTTCTTGTTCCTAGTAGGGATGCCCTTTGTTGGAGGCCATCGCTATTAGGTTGGAGAGCATGTGGGCTGATCAGTCACTGTTCACCTTGAGTGGGCTTGCCTGTTCACTTCGTCACTTCGTCCAAGGACATGGTTGGCTTTGCGCGACTCAACAGAGGTTCGGAACACGCTTCCGCAGAGTTTAGATTGAAAAGAACAGAGAAGCTGAGTTTGAATGTGAATGTAAGACTTACGCTGTAAGCTGCTTGAAGGGTTTCCCAGCATGTTCAAGTGTATCTTTGACAAGCCTGCAATCAATGTGGAGAGGAACAAGTCAGTTTGATGACTTTCATCACAAGAAAAACCATTGCATGCTGCAGGGAAGATCACACTGGATACGCCTCTTGGGCAAAGAGTGAAAGGCGTGAAAGACTTGATGCACAATCTAAATTTGTTTCATTTGTGCTCAAGGACGTACTTTCAACAGAACAATCCTTTCTTTGGACCATTAATTCTTTCGTTTTGTTCTACCCTTCAAGTGAGGGTCTCTGCCGCCTGGCGTGCTCCACGTTTGTGTTGGGCTGGGAGAGTGGTGCGCGCTGGACTTTTACAGGTGCGTGCGAACGAAAGACCCCCGTTGGTTGGCAGCTCCGGCTGTAGAAAACATGCCAGGTCTCATGCGGGAGCACTTGGCAGAAGTAAATGCCACCTTTACACCTTGCCACTGTTCCTTTCGTTATGTGCAAATTTGGGGCGTTCAGGCCCAGTCTTTTTCTTTCCTTGTGTTTTCTTGCGGATGTGTTTTTTGTTTAAAGAGAGTTCCTCTATGTTTTGTGTGCCGACTTTTCTTGTTTAAGTGACCTTCGCTGAGAGCTTGAAAGCATGGTTTCGCCCGCCCACTTCCAACCAAGGGTGGCTTCTGTATCGCAACGTCGATGGGGTCACTTTGTGGACTGAAAATGAACACGCAGCCAGACGACAAACAAGACCAACAGAAAACGCTTCAAATTGCAAGAAGAGCAAGGAAAAGAAATGACTCATGAGTTGTTTTTTACATGCATTACTGTCACGGGTGAACCAAATTATTCTTATGTCGCCTACTCGAGCGTTCTCAAGAAAAGCAGGAGAGTTTTCACTTTGAAGAGCGCATGGAGTTCAATGAGGGTTCTTGAGCAGCAAAACATTGGCAAACATTAAACGGAAAGGCAGACGTGCTCGGCAAGAAATGCATGAAAATAGAAAACTAATTGGAAAACAATCGAATAAGAAGAAAACATGAGAAGAAAACAAGAGTGTTGTTTTCGAAAAAAATGTGTTGTTTGCCTTGAGCCTCTTGAGGTGACATTGGTTTGGCTGGCGGGATTCAGATCTTGGAGCCTGCAAACCTCAATCCCACCAATGTCCACTCCCGAGACATTTGAAAGTCACAAACGAGAAGATAGTTTTTCAAGAGTTTATTGGTGTTTTTTTTTGTTTTGTGTTAAAGCTCTACACTTATTAATGTTATAGAAAAAGAGACTTTAAGGAACCTACTAGAGATGGCCTCCAACCTACTAGCGATGGCCCCCATAAAGAGAGTGTATATTATGTATTGTTTGTGTTTATTTTAAACCTAGCTAGACTTTGAGACCTGTCTTTTTTCCTTCCTCCTTTTTCGGGAAATCCTTCTCAGGTGGACACAATCAGGAGATATGGTGGCTCCACTTCACCAGACATGCCCTGGCCAGAGGAGACGGGAGATTTCAGCAGGGAAGGAGAGAAGAGATGGACGTCCTTTTAAGAGGCCGCTCTGGCCCCCGACCTACTAGCGATGGCCTCCAACCTAATAGCTGTCCAAATAACAAAGTCCTTTCATGTTTTGTCCTTGTTCTTTTCTGTTGGTCTTTTTGAGAAGAGGTTAGAGGAGAGAAGAGAGAAGAGAGAAGAGTTGTTGTGATCTTGGTAGTCTTGTGAGGAGCACGACGATGATGAAGACTGTCGCATCGAACGCTTGGAAAAGATCATGTCAAGAGCCATGAAGAAGATGGACAAGACACCAAGCTGCAAAATGTCCAGCAGTGGGCCCTTGAAACAGAATTGGAAGTTGTTGCAAGAACCAACCGCTTCTCTTAGATTCTCTCACAAGCGGCTTCCGATCGGTCGGCGTTCTCCTTCCGCTTCGAATCTTCTTTGGGGCACCAGAGTCACGGTAGTAAGGCACCTGTTACTACTAGCGTCCTTGTTACTAGTAGTAAGGCACTTGTTCCTAATAGCAAACATTGTTACTACCAGTAAGGCACCTGTTACTAGTAGTTTCTTGTTACTACTAGTAAGGCACTTGTTACTACTAGCGTGGCACCAGAGTCACGGTAGTTTACAAATCGGCTAAACTCGCTGCGTTTGGAGAAGGGCCAACCCAAACCAAGCGTTTGAATTTCTGTACATGTTGAACTCGCAAACAGATGACAGCTTAGTAACAAGAAGCTACTAGGAACAAGTGCATCGCTTCTAGTAACAGGTGCCTTACTAGTAGTAACAAGAAAGCTAATAGAAACAAGTGCCTTACTAGTAGTAACAGGTGCCTTACTAGTAGTAACAAGAAGCTAATTACTAGGAACAAGTGCCTCACTAGTAGTAAGAATTGTAATTACTAGCTTCTTGTTAGTAAGGCACTTGTTTCTACTAACACCTTTCTCTTCTATGTTCTTTCGTTTTCAGGAACGGAACCCGTTTGGGACCTTCCTCCCAAGGCGCGAGGTATGTGACTGTAGCGAAGTGCTAAAAGAAAGCGTTCTTCGATTCAGACCAGATAAGACCTGTCTTCCTGTTCTTCCTTTGCTCCCAGTAGCTTCTTTTTCCTAGTAGTAAGGCCAGGAGCTACTAGTAGCTTCTTGCTCCTAGTAGCGATGCCTTTTGTTACCAGTAGCTTTCGACCATAAGATCTGTCTTCCTTTGTTGCATGTGTCCGTCTTTTTTTTTCTTTCGACTATAGACCTTTCTTCCTAACCTAATAGCGATGGCCTCCAATCTAGTAGCAAACTGTATTGGACCTGTCTTCCTTTCCTTCTTCGCTCGCTCATTCGTTTGTCCGTTCGTTCGTCCGTTGCTCTTTTTGCTTCCTTAATATCTTTTTCTTTTGACCTTCAAACCTTCTCTTTGTGCTTTCTTGTTATCTTTGTTTCCGCAGAGTTGCCTTTTGAGACGTGTCGTTGTGGAGGCTCCAGTGCATCATCCGGGATGAGCAGCCAGAGCAGCCATGATAGCCAGCATGAGTAGAGAAGCCCGCAGGAAGCAAGGAAACGATGACTTGCATTGTCCTTTTCAGAAAATGACATTAAACAGTTTGGGAGACGAAGATATCCTTCGTCTCGCTTACATGTATCGTCGTATGCATTGTTGCACTGTTTCAATGGCTGTGCAGAAGCTGACAAGAGCTTTTTGCATCGCCTTCCAGTTCGCCAGTTCCGAATTGCCAGTTCTGTGGGTCACAAGCTGCCCAGAGAAGCTGGCGAGCGCCAAATGCGCGTCTTGCAAGCTGTAAGCTTGTTATGGTGAGAAAGCAAAGAGTTTTTCTTCTATTGGAGGGTGGGTAGGCGCTGCAGTTGCTTAACTAAGCCTTTTCAAAGTAGAGGCTCTACTAGCTGAGGGCAGGGAGCGTCCTCGAAGAAACCTGAGCCTTTATGATTTGGTTCCCAGATGCCCTTTGCTCCTAGTAGCTTCTTGCTCCTAGTAGTAAGGCCAGGAGCCCCTAGTAGCGTTCTTGTTCCGTTCTTTCTTTTATGTTCTTCCTCTTTCAATCTTCAGGCCTTTCTTCCATTTCTTGTCATGTGGTTTCCTTTTCTTTCTTCAGATGGTTCCTTTTGATGTTCATGATTTGCTTTCTGCAGCACAAGCCTCGGAAAATTGGATGGAGGAATGACCTCCAAGACTAAAAGCAGACCTAAGGCAGGCCTCTGATAAAGCATTCGAAGAGAGAAAAATGAAAAAGATCGTTAAAAACATGGGAACAGGAAAGACAAATCTATGGACAATGATGGATCATTGCTTCTTGAGTAGCATTTTTGGGCTCAAGTGTGAAGATTGCAAGCATTTGCAGAGCTATGGTCATCGATGTTATTGTGCGCAACAAGTCTGACTGGCGTGTTCTTCGGGTCTGTCAGCCCGATGTGTGGGTGCCGAAGAATCAGCAAAGAACATGTAAAGTGACACCTGGCGGGTGGGTGGACATTGCCTATTGTGACCGGAAAGGTGTTGCATGGGAGACAACTTGTTGCATTCCACATAGCGAATGAAGATGACCAGAGGGAGGCATTTAAGAACTGAGCTGCAACTTTTAAGGCTCGTCATGGTGTGGCGGGGCCTTGCAGAAACCCCAGCACCTTTGTTCAGTTTGTAGCTGACGTGCTAGACTTACCTCTCGCCTCTATGGCTCGATGAGAAAAGTCTGTTGCAGCTTTGCAACAGTGCGGTCGTTATACTCAAATCCGTTTGACATGGCGGAGGCAACTTAACCCGATAGCCCACATACCCAACTTTTTGAACGCCTTCATTATAGCAAGAGAACTGCAACTGTCATAGTTGATGCTACTCTCACCACTTGATTTGACCTGTAGGCATTTCTGCCTCAAGGCTGTATAGAGTCTTTCAATCTCGGTTTTGTCAGTGTTGCCTTTTCGCAATGGGGAACGGTCATGCACCTGCCACAAACATGCACTACAGACACAAAGCAACAGAGACACCGAAGGCTCCCGACGTTCAAAAAAAGCATGTGCAAAAGTGAAAAAACGGCTCCAACTTTACCATTGCGTTTTGTTCCAACTAGGAGCAAGGACGCTACTAGGAGGAAGGACCGTACGTTCGGGGCTCCTGGCATCGCTACTAGTAACAAGGACGCTACTAGTAAAGACGGTTTGAACTTGAGTGTTTTGTCCTACTCACCAATTTTGCTGCCTGGATTTGTGCTTGGCATGCCCGAAGTTGATGAGGCACCAAGCGCCCTGCAGTTTCGTCAGACGAGTGAATGTCCATTGAGGGCCATGGCTACTAGGATAGAGGAGGCCATCGCTACTAGGTTGGAGGCTGTTGCTATTAGGTTGAATGTCTACATTTTGAAGGCTTTTCGACTCAACAAACCCTCCATACCTCTAGACTAGTCAAAAGGTCTTAGTTTTAACTTCCCTTTTTTCTGGCAAGGAGCCTGTCTGGGGATTGGCGAGGGAAGACTTCGATCCTTGTCCGCGATGAATGAAGCAAGTGGTCTTCGGATGTTGCTTGACTTTATATAGCCCTCTCCTACTTAATTAAGTAGGCGCTTACTTATTTAAGTAAGGGAGGAAGCTACTAGCTACTTAAACTACATACTGAATGGAGGATAGCTCACACGAATCATTTGGTGTCTAGATCTTTAGGGAAACCTGTATGAACACACCTGTCTTTGCGCTTGTATCTATACACTGACTTTAGTGGGCGGTTGGGCTCGAACCTATCGGATTGCACCAAGGGCTTGTAGCAACGGGTAGTCAAGCCAACCTTCCAAGAGATGACCGAACACACCATGTTTTTTGTTTTGAAACACCAATCCAGCGTTTCTTCAAGACACATCGGAGAACTTTCCTTCATCCTGAGTCTTCCTTGTGGACAAAACAGCAAACCAAACTCATTGAATGAAATAAAAGAAAATGACATTCTAGGAGCAAGGACGCTACTAGGGACTCCTGGCCTTGCTACTAGGAGCAAGCATGCTACTAGGGGCTCCTGGCATCGCTACTAGGAGCAAGGACGCTACTAAAGGAACCTCTTAACTACTAGCGATGACCTCCAACCGACTAGCGAGGGCGTCCAACAGACCACGTCACTGGGCCCTTTGCTCCTAGTAGCGTCCTTGTTGTGACCGTCTGAGGATGGTAGTGAGTTTGGACCAGAGTATCTGAGCTTCAACGAGGGCCAGGACCGTACCTGTGTCGCACGTTAAAGAGATGAAAACGGTGTGTTGTTTTCAATTATTTCCCTTACATTGTGCTGTTTCTCCGTCCGGTTTTTTCTTCGACTTGTAAGAGAAAGTCCAAGACCAAAAGACTTTCAATAGCGATGTGGACGATCCTCTAGAAAGATTTGGAACTTCTCGATTTCAACAAAGCCTAGTAACGAGTGCATCGCTAGTAGTAACAGGTGCCTTACTGGTAGTAACAAGTGCCACGCTACTAGAAACAAGTGCCTTACTACTAGTAACAAGTTACGAATTTACTTCTCGATTTCAACAAAGTAGCTTCTTGTTACTACTAGTAAGGCACCTGTTACTACTAGCGTGGCACTTGTTACTAGTAACGAGCTATTAGTGGAACTTCTTTAGGCCTTCTCGCGTCTTTCTGTCTTTGGAGGCCATCGCTCTTAGGTTGAAGACCATCGCTTCTCGAGTCTTTTCCAAATTTGTTTCTTTCGGAGTGCCTTCTGCGCGAAGTCTAGTTTTCGAAGGGAGTGTCGCCGAAAGGAGCTCGGGATTCTCAGCAAAGAGACGGATGGATGGGCATTGGGCGTGCTCAAAAAGGGCACCGAGCTGGTTCAGGTGGGAGAGATAGGTAGAAGAAATAGGGAGAGAAGTCTCTGAAAAAGATCACCTCCGCCTAATAGTGATGGCCTCCAACTGTGTAGGGCCTTGTGGTGATTAAAACCTAGTCCTGACTTAGCGGTCGGTAGCAGTAGCAAGAGTAGCGACACATCCAGGGCTTTCTGACCGCACCACTTTGCAGGGTTGGTTTCCTCCTGACTTCTGGAGCAGCAAAGGCGATTTCGACGGGGCAAGCGATGCACTTGTTACTAGTAGCTTCTGAGCTTCTTGTTACTCCTAGTAAGGCACTTGTTCCTAGAAGCGATGCACTTGTTCCTAGTATCGAATGAAAGATTACTTGTAAAGAATAGATAAAGAAGGCTTTGTGAAGGCAAGCAGTTTGACAAGAAAGCCAAATCAGGTCTTGCATTTTGCACGCTTAACTTTTGCACTACAAAGCATTAAAAGCTTTGGGTCGGAAATTCGAGATTGGCCTTTACTCATGAGACAGAAGGCATTCTCTCGAAAGGGGCAATGTTAATAACTTAGGGAATGCACCCGGCCCAAGACATCTATATAGAACTAGTAGCACAGGACGCTACTAGGGACTCCTGGCATCGCTACTAGTAACCAGGGCCTTACTACTAGGAGCAAGAAGCTAGTAGAAACATGTAGAAACAATAAGCTATATAGTCCTGTTATGTCCTTTTCAACTTTAGACCCTTTAGACTCGACACTTCCTCCAGACCATCCTTGTCTTGAACTCTTCGATTCGTGTTTTTGCCGACCTCTTGCATAGCAAGTAGGCGCCTACCACCTACTGCCTACTAAAGATACCTAAAATTGTAAGCTGGTATACCTACTGGACGCAGGATAGCTCATGCTTCTTCAAGGGAGCTTCCTTGAAGAAGCGATGGCCTCCACCCTTGTTGTGATGGCCTCCAACCTAAGAGCAATTGCTTCCAAGATGTTGAGGAAAACCTTCACTATTTTTGTGCTTCTCGCAGAGGCTCTTTGGCTCCTCCAAGGAGCTCTGGACTTCATCAAGCACACCAGGCGCCCAGAACATGGGATGTGGGCGGACGTGGGAGTTTCCAAGGGCATCTAGTAGCGTCCTTGCTCCTAGTAGCGATGCCCCTTGTTATTAGTAGCTTCTTGTTACTAGTAGTAAGGCACTTGTTACTAGAAGAGATGCACTTGTTCCTACTAGCTTCTTGTTAGTAAGGCCAGGAGCTACTAGTGGCGTTTGGACAGGAGAAGAAGGCAAAGAATGGCAAAGGATCGAAAGGAGCGAAAGGAGAAGGGGCTGAGGCTGAAGAGGAGTCCACTACCCTTGCAGATGGTGTCGTGAAGGCGTGGATGTGAAAAATGTCATGCTCAGTTGTTCCTAGTAGCGTGGCACTTGTTACTACTAGCGTCCTTGTTACTACTAGTAAGGCCAGGAGCCCCTAGTAGCTTCTTGTTACTAATGTTCAGTTGTTCCTAGTGGCGAACCTTGTTACTACTAGCTTCTTGTTACTAGTAGTAAGGCACCTGTTACTACTAGCGTGGCACCTGTTACTAGAAGCTTCGTGTTACTAAAACAAAGCGGGGTCAGTGTTTGTTACTAGTAAGGCACTTGTTACTAGTAGCGATGCACTTTGCTCCTAGTAGCGTCCGATCGCTCCTAGTAAGGCCAGGAGCCCCGAACGTAGCGTCCGATCGCTCCTAGGAGAGAAAGCACACAAGAGCACACTGCTTTATTCGTCGCTTCGCACCGAAGAGCCCACAGAGTTTACACGATGAGCCAGCATGTAGTAACAAGAAGCTACTAAGAACAAGTGCCACGCTAGTAGTAACAGGTGCCTTACTAGTAGTAACAAGAAGCTACTAAGTATAAGGAGCCCCGTTCGTAGCGTTGCTCCTAGTAGCGATGCCAGGAGCCCCTGGTAGCGTTCTTGCTCCTACCAGTTCTGGCAGGGTACTTCCAATACCTTACCGAAGACCCGGTTCACGAGCATTTTCTTTGCAACATGGCAGTCTCTCACTGGCCAAACGACCCCGGCAGCTGACAAAATGAGACGGTAGGCGTGCCACATATTGATCATACAAGCTAAACATTGTGGAAGAATGTTTCCAAACAATAGCACATGCGGTTAAACATGTGTCCTTGTGATAGAGGTTTAAGAAATGAAGGCATCCACCAAAGCTGTCTTGGTTGCAGAATAGTCTTGAGAAGACGAAATGCTAAGCAAGCTTCATGGCAAACCACCAGGCATCCATTGCACTTTGGAATATTGTTTGCCCCACCCTAACTCTGGAGTGGGGGCATAGTCAAGCTAAAGGTCTTGTCGGGGTAGACCAAAAGCTATACACGTATGAGATGCAAATTAGCAAACAACAGTAACAAGAAGCTACTAGGGGCTCCTGGCCATACTACCAGTAACAAGAAGCTATTAGAAACAAGAATTAGAATTCAATCTAATTAGAATTGAATTAGAATTGGAACAAGAACGCTACTAGGAGCTTTTCTAATAGGGGCTCCTGGCATCGCTACTAGGAGCAAGGACGCAACACTGGCTCTTGAGCCAAAATGGCAGCGTCCACCACCCCAAACCAAGGCTACGAGCAATGGCCTCCACCCTACTAGTTCGCAACAATTTGAAACAGCCACCATTCGTCCCAAGATTTCCCAATACCCGGCGAAGGACAAATAATGAGGTCTCTTCGGGGTACTTTTGCAAATAAAAGAAGAACTGTTTTGAAGATCAAGCATTCCAAGCCCGGCACTCATCAGCACACATATAATATTACAAAGACGAGCACGCATGCAAGGTAACATACTTGAACACATGCTGCACACGTCCCAAAAGCGGAATGTTCAAGCCCAAAAGCTTTGCTTAAGCAACCACAGGAAAATTTCAGCCAAGGATTGCGTTCAACATCATGTTCTGCCTCCAAACTCAAAAGCCCCCGATGCCAAGATTTCATGCACGCAGTGTCTTCTCTGCCTCAGTGTGCCGGCCCAACGGGTAGATTGAAGTTGTCCAATCAAGGAGATCCGTTTAGGTTGGAGGCCATTGCTAGTAAGAACAAGAAGCTACTAGGGGCTCCTGGCCTTACTACTAGGAGCAAGGACGCTACTAAGGGCTCCTGGCTGTCTTTTCGTATCACCTATCATGGTGAGATGAACTGACAATCCACCAGGTGTTCTTTGCAGAGCGCCGTTATGGATTTGTGGACTGCAATGGGCTGGACGCCTGACAATGGAAAGGTCATCAATGTTGGCAAGGACGCTACTAGGGGCTCCTGGCCTTACTACTAGGAACAAGAAGCTAATAGAAACAATAAATAAATATAAATAGAATTATTCTTTTGTCATTTCAATTTCTCGAATTGGGATCCAAGGACGTGTTCTTGCATCTCAGTGATTGTGGACAGCATACTCCACGTGTGGGAGATCTCGTGCGCTTCATGATTGAAAGGCCTGCACGTACAGAGAAAGGGAGAGAAGTGTTTACAAGAACCTCGAAAAAAGAAACAAGAAAGCTAGTAGAAACAAGTGCCTTACTAGTAGTAACAGGTGCCTTACTAGTAGTAACAAGAAAGCTAGTTACTAGGCCTGTTCCACTAGCGGCCTCCAGCGATGCCTCCAAAAGGTCTGAAGATCTGAGAAAGGCTCGAAAAATCTCCAACGGGCACAAGTTCGCCCGACAAGTAACAAGAAGCTACTAGTAACAGGTGCCACGCTAGTAGTAACAAGAAGCTACTAGGAACAAGTGCCTTACTACTAGGAGCAAGAAGCTACTAGGGGCTCCTGGCCATACTAGTAACAATGTTCGCTAGTAGAAACAAGTGCATCGCTTCTAGTAACAAGTGCCTTACTACTAGTAACAAGAACGCCACTAGAAAGCAAGGACGACTGAAAACTCCTAAGCTTCGCTGTTCAGGATGGCCTCCAAACCTCGTAGCTTCTTGTTACTAGTAGCAAGAATGCTCCTGGTAGCGATGCCAGGTGCCCCTAGTAGCGTCCGATCGCTCCTAGTAGCGATGCCCTTTGTTCCTAGTAGTGATGGCCTCCATAGCAAAAGGAACCTAATAGCAAGAAAGCATCACAAACGAATACATACGAGACATTGACATTCAATCTGTAGAGGCGTGCTTGCAACCCGAAGCAAATGCAAGCCAAGATGCTCGTCTCAGCACTTTCAATTGGCCTTATCAAACCCATCAGTCGTTCCATGTCTTCTCTTCTCACGAGTTTGAGAAAATTGTTTCTAGTAGCGATGCCAGGAGCCCCTAGTAGCGTCCTTGCTCCTCGTAGAAAATTGTTTCTGTTGCGGTTTGTAGTGGTTTTAGTTGAGAGTTTGTTTGCCGTTTTCTCTCTCCTTCTCTGTTTGCTGGTTTGCGGGCTCGCTCACTCTCGTTCTTTTCGAGGTCGGTGACCTTTGCAGGGCGACAGGAGGTTTTGCATCAGAACCAAAAAGGTGAAGTGAAGTCCGTTTCAAGTGCCTTGGACGCTACTAGGAGCAAAGGGCATCGCTACTAGGGGCTCCTGGCCTTACTACTAGGAACAAGAAGCTACTAGGACTTTTTGCGCGCGCGCGCACGCGGGGGGGGGTAGGAACAAGGAGCAAGAAGCCTTACCACTAGGAGCAAAGGGCATCGCTACCAGGAGCAAGGACGCTACTAGGAGCTTCTTGTTACTAGTAGTAAGGCCCGGAGCCCCTAGTAGCTTCTTGTTCCTAATAGCAATGGCCTCCAACCTAATAGCGATGGCTTCCTAGATTTTTAGGGCAACTTAAGTTTCATTGAAACTGACAGCGTTTGTGAGCGTAGATGTTTGGTGCCTTAGGCGGACACGGTTTCATTGTCTCTGATACAGGAAACGCCGCTTGGCAAAGTCAGATGTCAGGCGTACCTTTCTCATGCTGCTTTCAATTTTCACACAGCTGAGGACATTTTCTTCAGAAAGGTCAGTTGCGACAGCGGCATGCCCATGCCAGGTGAAAATGTGACCTTCGATGTGAGTCTTTGGCTAATTAGACCTTTCTTTCTTTTCTTGTTTCTTTGTGTCTAATTGCGATGGCCTCCAACCTAATAGCTAAACTGCGACATGCTTCTGATTTCTTTATGGTTTCCTCTCATAATGCGCATTCTGCAGTCATCAGTGGTTTTTGGGTGTCCAGAACTTGCTATAGGCACTGGAAGGAAAGTGGAACTTATTTGGCACTGATTTGTTGTTGTTGTTTTTTTGGGGTGTGTCAGCTTTGTATATGTGTGTGTGCGTGATTTGCACACAAATGTGTGAAACAAATACATTTGTTGAAAACGATTGAGGAATGTGTGCACTGCATAAGAAGCTAGCAGTCATCTTTTTTTGCTAATTAGACCTTTCTATTTCTGTTTGGTTCTAATTGTGATGGCCTCCAACCTACTAGCGAAGCAAGACCCGTTCATGTTTGAGGAAATGGTCAGAAGCAAGACCCGGATATTTGGAGGCCGTGCATTGGGCTCAGGTCGCGACTTCTGTTCGAATAGAAATGAGTGCGAAACATCATGTGAAACATCTTTTGATATGTTTGTTGATTCCTTTCATAGCTACTAGGAGCAAAGGACCCTACTAGGGGCTCCTGGCCTTACTACTAGGAGCAAGAACGCTAGTGGTGGTGTGATGTGCGGTGGTGCTTCCTCACATCAGCATGTGGAGCCTCACATCACCATTACCAAAGAGTGATCAACAATCAGCTTTTGACAGCCAGATAATCAATTCAGTAACAAACTGTTTTGTTGTTTAATGACAAAGAAATTGATGAGGGGAGTGTAATAGGTAAAGGTAGGCAGCTCACAGTAGCTACTTGAAGCTACTTGTAGCAAGGATGCAGAAGGGTTGTGGTTTAAGGAAGCTCCCACAAGGGGCGGGGCAGAAGTTTCCTTCAAGAGACCTTCGCATGATCAGAAAGGTTTCTAGGTGCTCCTAATAGCAAGGGCCTCCAACCTAAGAGCGATGGCCTCCAGCCTTAGAAGCGATGGTCTCCAACCTGGGTGCTCCCAACGAAAGGTAATTAGGTTTTAGACCTTCCTTCCTTCCTTCCATCCTTCCTTCCTTCCTTCCTTCCGCGTCCCCTAAGGAATGTGAATGCTGAAGGTGGACATTCAAGCACAGTGTGCCAGGAGACTGAAAAGATTGAATGGCATCGCTACTAGTAACAAAGGACATGACTACTAGGAGCAAGGGCATCGCTACTAGCAACAAGAAGCTATTAGTAACAAGTGCATCGCTTCTAGTAACAAGTGCCTTACTAGCAGTAACAAGAAGCTGAGGTTCGGGGCTCCTGGCCTTACTCCTAGGAGCAAGGACGCTACTAGGGGCTTCTGGCATCGCTACTAGGAGCATTCTTACTAGTAACAAGAACCGAGACGTGAAGACCTGAGTTTTTAAGGCCCGCTCCCAGCAATGGCCTCCAACCTACTAGCGCTCCTACTTAATTCAGTAGGCACCTACTTCATTCAGTAAGCTACTAGGCTAAGTTAGCTTGTAGGTAGGACGCAGGATAGTGCGCTAATGATTTGGTTGCTAGACTTGTAGGTAAACTAATGGTTTGGTTGTGCTTTTTTGGTTCAGCCGACGCTCTATGCCTCGCGGCATCTCTTTCAAGTCCGTGGTGCCAGGATCATCCCACTATCGCCGCTGTCCGAGAGTTTGCAACAGAAGCTTTGCCAGCACCAAGAACCAGTGGTGTTGGTTCTGCGTCTTACGGAACTTTGCATCCCTTGACACCTTGACAACACCAATGGCAGACCCTCACAAAGGAAAAAGAAAGAAGAGGTCAAAAGTTCTAAAGAAAGAGAGAAAAGAAGGTCTAAAGGTCCAAAGGGAAAGGAGGAAAGGAAGCTAGCCACAGGTACTTCATCGCTTCTTTGTTCCTAGTAGCTTCTTGTGACTAGTAGAAAGGTCTAAAGGTCCAAAGGAAAAGGAAAGAACATAGATGGAAACGGTCGTCTTGATAGATGTTTTTCTTAAAATAGTAAACGATTGTACAGAGTTTCTATACGGGATTCTGTAGGAGGTTCTATACGGATTGTTTATAATGAGTTTTATAGGGTATGTTCTTTTTGAGGGAGTTTGAGTTCTCACGGGGATTTGTACAAGTGATGTTTATAGTGATGTTTTTAAGGGCAATCTTACATGGAGTTCTTGCAGCAACTGTTTCTAGGAAGTTTTTCTGTCAATTTCTGCGCAGGAATTACAGTTGTTTTGAAGATGTTTAGAGGTATGTTTGTTGGAAATGGTTATGGCCTGACTCAACGTCCCGCCACACCTTGTCAACACTGGTAACAGACACTTGCAAAAGTTGAAAGCAGACTCTTGAGCGCTATCCTGCACGGTCCTATTACTGTTCTTTCTGTATTTGCGTTTTTAGAGCTGCGGACCTTTCCTTTCCGGTCTTTTCTTTTCAGTTTGTTCTGTTTTGCTCCCAGATGAAACGCCCTCTTGGCCAAATCCGAGGTGGTCAATCTTTTGGCCGAGCGTGCCGAAGCAGCAGAATCAGAAGCCGCAATGCTTCGGGAGAAGTTGCTCTCTGCGCATCATCGAATTGACGAATCTTGGAACAGTAAGAATGCTCCTAGTAGCGTCCTTGCTCCTAGTAGTAAGGCCAGGAGCCCCTAGTAGCTTCTTTACTACTAGAATAGATTTCAGACTTGTTTTGAAAAGAATTGATTAAAACTAAATTTGGTACGTCTTAGACTTGCAATGATGAAGAGAGATTGGAAAAGATGTCTTGCTGGAGAAAATGAATCAGAACGAAGAAGACGCGTTTTGTCTTAGGAACTGGTGGAGGAGCTGGATAGAGTGAGGCCACCTACGGAGCACACGCCGGAAAGAACCATCTAAAAAGTTCAGATTTGTCCATTATGTTGGGTAGTTTCCTAATAGCAATGGCCTCCAACCTAGTAGCAATGGCCGCCAACCTAAAAGCGATGAGCTCCAACCTCGTAGCAATGGCCTCCAACCTATTTGCCAGGGCCTCCAACTTAATGGCGATGGCATCCAACCTACTAGCGATGTGAAGAAGCGCTCGCACTAATCATGTCGTTTCTAGATTTGGGGGAGAATTCACTTTTGTCAGTTTCTTGTTTCAAGCAGAATAATCAAGTGGCAACTGATGATCCACGAAGCTCATACGCAGCTTTGGCTTAAGGAGCTTAAGGACATAGCAGCCACATGCAAGACCAAGGCTGATATCGAACTCTGCAATTTTGTATTGAATGCAAGGACTTCAAAAGGGCTCAGGTCATGGGAACGCTGAGGAAATGAGGAAAAAGCAAAAAGGAATAAAGAACCAAAGAAAAAGGAAACAAGGACTTCAAAGGGCACTTTCCCCATAATTCTAGACTCTCCAGGAACCGTTTTGATGCAAAGCGCCAAGAAAGTGTCTCCCATCTTTAGGCTGGAGAAGTTTCAAGAACCTGAATCCTTCGACCTTGGCCCTTAAGGAAATGTAGGACTAGTAACAAGAAGCTACTAGGGGCTCCTGGCCTTACTACTAGGAGCAAGGACGCTACTAGGGGCTCCTGGCATCGCTACTAGGAGTATTCTTACTACTAGTAGTAAAGAAGCTACTAGGGGCAGGACAAGAAATTGAACATGTGGCGGCATTGCCTCCTGGGCCTTGTGGACTGGGCTCCCAGCGATTTGCGTTAATCTCTTATTGCCTTCTCGACTTATCTCCGACTCGTCTCTTGTTTCGAGAAAACAATGTTCGCTACTAGTAACAAGTGCATCGCTACTAGGAACAAGTGCCTTACTAGTAGTAACAAGAAGCTATTAGAAACAATAAGCTACTAGTAACAAAGGACATCGCTACTAGGAGCAACGGCATCGCTACCAGTAGCTATACAAGACTATACACAAGTAAAAACATGTTTGGTGACTGGCCTCAGCGAGGTATTCATGAGAAATCTCCACAAACGTGGGTCACCAAGGCGTCTGCACCCATCCCGTTTGAGCATGAGGATGTCAGTGACCTCATTGGAATAGGGAGTCAGGCGGGTCAGCGGGTTGTTATTCTGTCAACGTGCTGGCGAAATATCAGACCCCACGCACATTTTCGAAGTTTCCTCAATCATAGTAGCAAGGACGCTACTAGGAGCTCCTGGCATCTCGGAACCAAGTCAATCATGAAAATATATAGAATTGCTACTAGGAACAAGTGCATCGCTACTAGTAACAAGTGCCTTACTAGTAGTAACAATAAGAATTTATTTAGAATTGTAATTTCTATCAAAGGAATCTATATAGAATTGTTATTAGAAAATTTGTGTCGGAACGGTTTGGCAGCCTCGACCACCCGCTAGCCAGAACTGCTATTTGCGGTCGTTCTTTATGAATTAAGACACTAGACATCCAAACTTAATTTCGAATTAGGTAGGAGGCCATGGCTAGTGGGTTGGAGGCCATCGCTGTTAGGTTAGAGGCCATTGCTACTAGTTTGGAGGCCATTGCTATTAGGTTGGAGGCCATCGCTAGTAGTAACTCAAAAGAAAATGTTTTTTTTATTTTGTTTAATTTAATGAGTTTGTAGGCGTGTCTAGATGTTTTTGGGCTTCAGGTCATGATGCCATTTGGTTCGCTGTTTGCTACTCTTAAGAGGGCATTGTGGTTCTGGCAACAGCTCCAGTTTTTGTGCCGCATTGGAGCATAATTTGAGCATTCAGATATCCATTGCGCAAGGATTTCCTAAAGTAAGTGTGATTTGCACAGTCAATATGCATCGGATCACAAAAGGATTGGGTGGATCTTCCTTCGATCATGGTCGCTTTCAGCACTTGATTTGCAAAAGCTTAGACATCGGGAAACGTAACTTGTTTGCGAGGTGGCTGCAGCTGAAGATATGAGCAAGGCACGAGAGAGAGAGAGAGAGTGAGTGAGCTCGCAACGTCAACACGTGGTGCAACTTCCCGTGCTCATATGTGCGGTGTTTTCGAAGCCAAAATAGCCAAGATGCATGAAGGTGGTTGCATCGATCGTCCAACCTTGTTTTGATGGATTTGACCATGACCTTGTTTGGGTTGCGCTTCTAGGTTGGAGGCCATCGCTAGCAGGTCGGAGTCATGGTCAAATCATGGTCAAATCCACCCAAACAAGGTTCACCTTGTTTGGGTCAAGGACGCTACTAGGGGCTCCTGGCCTTACTACTAGGAGCAAGGACGCTACTAGGGGCTCCTGGCATCGCTACTAGGAGCAAGAAGGCTACTAGGGGGTTCCTGGCGCCATTCCCTTTGATTCGTCATCCCATCCGAGATCATGGCGCCCACAGGTGGACAAAGACTTGTCGCGGCATGGCCGGCGGCAACGGATGACAGCGCCGGAGACTTGTGGTGGGCGACGAGATGCTAAAAGTCATAAAAAAGCATTGGGTTCAAGGAGGTTCCATCTCTGCCACCACCTGTCATTTTCGCACCTGCGTTTGATGCGTTTCATTTGCATCTTGCAGCTTCGGATTTTGTTGCTTGGTTACTCAAAGGCTTCCCAGCTCAATTTCCTTTGGGTTTGGATCATGTGTGTTGCTCAAAGTCAACTTGAAAGCTAGCAGTGTGAAGTTTCTAGTAACTAGAAGCTACTAGGCATTGCTATTAGGTCCAGTTTTGTAGCTACTAGTAGCTAGAAGCTACTAGGAGCGGTCAGGGCATCGCTACGAACGGAGCAAGAAGCGGGTGATTCCTCAATCTCGGCCTAGGTGCGTCCGCATCACACGGGCCTTTGTGCAACAGCGCCCCGATGAGGTGAGCTACTAGTAGCAAGGAAGCTACTAGGAACAAGTGCATCGCTACTAGTAACAAAAGCATTACTACTAGTAGCTAGAAGCTACTAGTAGCTATTTGCTACTACTAGTAAGGCACTTGTTACTAGAAGCGATGCACTTGTTCCTAGTAGCATTCTTACTACTAGTAACAAGTTAATGGTTTTAACCTTTTATTCCGGTAATAAGGCGCCTACTCTAAGTAGCTGGGTGACTAGTTAGATTCTAGCAACTGGACGCTGCATAGCTCACGCTATTCATTTGGTTCCTAGATTTTTTGGGAAACTAAACTTGTTAAAGCCTTTTGTCTCTAGTTCCTGATTTGACAAGATATGTCGCATACAACTCCACGACGAAGCCATAGAGAAGAACATTTCCCACTGGTGACAGGCGAGACAGGATTCAGGTTGTTTTGTTGTGTTCCATCGCTACTAGGAGCAAAGGGCACCGCTACTAGCGGCTCCTGGCATCGCTACTAGGAGCAATGTTTGCTAGGAATTAAAGTTAAGAATTGAAACAAGAAGCTACTAGGGGCTCCTGGCCTTACTACTAGGAACAAGAAGCTACTAGGCCCATTGAAACAAGAAGCTACTTCGTCACTCAGCACCCCTTGAGGCAGTTCCGAATTTCATGTCATCAGTGCAGAGCAAGAATCCGTTCACAGGTGGATGCCACAGTTGCAACTCTGATGTCTCAAACAGTCCCAGGGTTGCCTGGCTGAAGTGGAGGGAGTTGCTGGTCAAAAGATAAGGTCAGCTGGGGAGTAGCGGTATCCAAAGCAGCATGATGATTGCAAAAGCTTGATGAATTCTAATTCAAGCCCACCATTTTTGGCAGTTGCATTGGAAACTTTAATTCTTGCTAGCAACAAGAAGCTACTAGGAGGAAGGGCATTGCCACTAGGAGCAAGGACGCTACTAGTAGCTCCTGGCATTACTACTAGTAACAAGGACGCTATTAGTAGCAAAGGGCATCGCTACTAGTAACAAGAAGCTAACCTCTAACCTACGCTTTGTGCGACTGTGCTCAGGATGCCCGAACCGACAGAGGAACAGGGCATGAACCAATTTTTCTCCATGAGCGCTGAAAGCTTAGCGCTTTGACAAGGGCTCACCTAATTTTTGAGTATTTTGCTTCGCTTGAAGCATTTTGGCTTGGGTTTTTGAAGCATTTTGTGAAAGTATATGTTGTCTTTGGCTTGGGTGGCGGCGGTGAGCACCTGTCTTCATACCGTTTCGCTCAGGTCTTGGCTTGCTACGAGGCGATCGACAATGAGACGCTCTCACAGGCGAGATGTAGGAACAATGTTCGCTACTAGAAACAAGTGCCTTACTAGTAGTAACAACAATTCTAATAGCTTTGTTGTTACTACTAGTAAGGCACTTGTTACTACTAGCGTGGCACTTGTTACTACGATAGCGGGGGGTAGGCCGCAAAAGGGAGGTAGTAGCTAGGTAGCACCGCCCCAAAAGCGGCGGGGGAAGCTTCCTTGAAGAAGTGCTCGCACGCACTAATCATTTGGTAATGGCCTCCAACCTGGTGCTTTAAGCTAAAATCATTGGGTCAGCAAGAATGGCTCCAATAGAATGCCTGCCAGAGTCTATACTAAGAACTGTTCACCTCGTCCATTCCGCACAGGTTGTGAAAGGTCAGGGACTGCGGCCACTCGCAGACAGAACTGCAGAGTCGGTGTTTAGGCGGGACCGTGAACGGATTTGCGATACAAAAACTTGAACGCAAAACCATATCGATGGCCAACCTAAAAGCCATGGCCTCTAACCTAATATAGCAATAGCCTCCAACCTAAATAGCAATAGCCTCTAACCTAATAGCAACAGCCTCTAACCTGATAGCAATGGTCTCCAAACAGGATCCCTTGATTTTTTGGATTCTTACAAACAGAAGTCAGTCTTCGAGTAAGAAGCATCAGGTGCCCTGCAATTTGTGTAGAGTTCAGCAGTGCTCATGCGAAAGCGGCCGTAGCGCTCGGTAAACTTGCCCTCGGCGCAGAAACCTGATGCTTGCTCGCCGACCGAGCCGACAACAAGTGGAGCTCTACGAGCAAATCCTGCAGGAGGAGAGACAGTCTTGACATGTATCAGACGTTCCCAGACTCACAAGATTGAGTTTCGGAATTGCTGCAGAAGTTTGCATTTGGTTATTTTGAGCCTACCAACATTGCACAAGGATTTCCGAGAAGCAGAAGTGCACATATTGAGTTGATTCCAACTGGTGCCAAAAGCACTAACCTAAAAGGGCGCCTATAAGGTTTGATGCATCCAGACTGAGCTCTTGTTGGTCGTGTTGTCCAATTTCAAGCGAGGGAATGTAATTTTGCTTTCGCTACTTCTTGTTGTTTTCACTTCTTCGCAGGAGCAAGCTCGGATACTTGACGAGGTCTCATGAATTGGCTTTTTCTACGACAATGTACTTTAGAGGAAGACATTAAAGTCCAAAATGCAGAGCCCCCAAACACTTCAACGGACACAGGTGGTGTCCCTGGCTTCAACAACCTTGCGAAACGGTTGGTTTTTGGAAAAAAATGTCTAGCAGCAGCAGCAGCTACCTCTTAGCTGGGTCGGCACACTGCAAGACATGGCCTCCAACCTAGTAGCGATGCCCTTTGCTCCTAGTAGCTTCTTGTTCCTAGTAGTAAGGCCAGGAGCCCCTCGTAGCGTCCTTGCTACTAGTAGTAATGTCCTGAGCTACTAGTAGCAATGCCCTTGTTACTGATTTAAAGTTTCACTTTTGACTTCCCCTGCGGCAGATGACGTTGGATGACATGCCTGGAGCTTTGGGTCTTTTCGGGCAAAAGATGTCCACCAGCAAGGCGATTTGCGGGCAGGGAACTGGGGGCAGGACTTGAGCAAAACGTCAGAAGAAAGTGGCAAGAAAGAAAGTAAAAGATTACACAACCGTAGACCCCAAACAGGTGGGACAACAAAGAAGCATTCCCAAGTCTATTTTCTTGAGACATGGGAGACAAGAAGGAAGACAAGGCGGACACAATGACCAACAAGAAGGGAGGCAAAAGGAAACAGAAGGGAGACAAGACGGACACAATGACCAACAAGAAGGGAGACAAGAAGGGAGACAAATGGAAACAGAAGGGAGACAAGACGGACACAATGACCAACAAGAAGGAAGACAAG